TTTTATTGCATTTTAGGTTTTGGGGTACATGTGAAGAACATGCAAGATTGTTGCATAGGTACACATATGGCACTGTGATTTGCTGCCTTCCTCCCCATCACCTATATCTGTCATTTCTCCCCATGGTATCTCTCCCCAACTCCCCACCCCGCACTGTCCCTCCCCTATTTCCCCCCGACAGAACCCAGTGTGTGATGCTCCCCTCCCTGTGTCCATGTGTTCTCATTGTTCAACACCCACCTATGAGTGAGAACATGCAGTGTTTGATTTTCTGTTCTTGCATCAGTTTGCTGAGAATGATGGTTTCCAGGTTCATCCATGTCCTAACAAAGGACATGAACTCATCGTTTTTTATGGCTGCATAATATTCTTAAAAGGGTAAAGCCTGTCATCTAAGAAATGTCATTCAGCCAAGAAATTACTCCAAACTTTATTGTCTGAAATAATTTGGAAATAATTCCTTTTAAATTTCAGGAATAAAAGGAGATAAACCACTGTTACAGTTTCAGTTGTTTTTAACTATGTGTTGAAGCTTTCCCAGTCTCTTACGTTGATTTTTCAGTTGTGTTAATTTGGCTATTAAAAGAATTGTGCCATCTTCATAGATGACTCATGTGGAAGTGGATTATCTTTACTAACAGAACTGACTAGAGACATGCAAAAATGGATGCTAAGCCTAGGGAAAGAACCTCCTGAAGATTAGTAAATATGTTTGATGACATTAAACTACACACTATCATTTGTAAGTATTTTCACTTGTCAGCTAGAAAACAATGGCAGATCTTGAGATTCTACCTCATCCTCCTCTGTTAACCAGTAAAGGAGACACGGTGTTGACTTCAGGATGTTTTCTATTCGTCATGCAGCATGTGGGACCAAAAAAACAAGGGAAGGGAAGGAGCTCTGTTGGGTAGGGCTGGGTACGGGAAGGTCTATTTTGCTTAGTTTTCCTCAGGGATAGTCAGAACTCTAAAAATTAGCAGTCTAGTCAAAGGGAAGTTTGGAGGAACAAATGAGGGACCTTCTCCATATCCATTGTCTCTCCATGCCTTCAGCCTGGGAGGCAATAAGTTTCTAGGGATCCAAGCTGTTACCCCTAGCCGGTTTTCATTTAATAACTACATGGCCTAAATAATGTTGTTCTCTTTTCACAATTCTCAGCTGCCAACGGGAGAGTAGTATAATGACTTGCCATTGGATGTCCATTGACTCTTTCAGCCATTGACCGCCTTATTCCATTAAACAGAAAATAGTGACTCTTTCCTGGCTCTTCTCATGAGATTTCTGACCTTTTCCACCACTTTATATTGTCTTTAGAAATAAAGATCCCTTTGATGAGTGGAATTATCTTCCCATATTAATGGTCATGAGTGACCTTGAGAGGCTAATGCATGCAATTTAACAAATCCAAACTCAAGTTAAAATCTGTCTTGATATTCATAATAAGAATTTTTGTGATGTCCCTGACATCCAAAAGAAATAACCTGTGGCAGTGTTCACTCTAATACTTGATCTTGTTAGAGAAAATTTCAACCTTACAGAAATTTTAGAATTACAGCTGAGCCAGCATTACAGTGCTAGGGAATAAGAAATTGTTGTGTTGCCTGTTTTTGAAATATAACAAAAGCTGTGTTTTGAGAGTAATTGACTTCTTAACTCACACTGGACTTTCATGTCTTAAGTTCCTGCAACCTATATTCTTGTGGCTGATTTTGTTAAATATGTACCTATAAATCTCCTGCTTATTATAAGATTATATGTTTAAAGTTCAAAGAAGTAAAATAAACTAGTATTTCTCTATTTTTTGAGATAGTTTTTCCTAGTTCTCATGGCATGTTTTGGGGTTTGTTTTTTTTTTTTTTTCTAAGAGACAGTATCTCGCCCTGTAACCATGGGTTGGAGTGCAGTGGTGCAATCATGGCTCACTACAGACGTGACCTCCTCGGGCTCAGGTGATCCTCCTACCTCAGCAGCCTGAGTAGTTGGGACACAGGCGTGCACCACCAAATCCATCTAACTTATGACAGGTTAAAGGGAGAATTCTTTCTTTTGAGCAAAATGTTTATACCAGGAACAAAAAATTAAAATAGTAGCCATCCCTAGACTCTGTATTTTTGAAAATCAAAATTGTAGTAGAAATTTACTAATGAAGGCAATAGAGTTCTATAAAAGCAACCACTTCTAAAACTTCTTGCTTTTGCACATAAGTAACTGGAAGCAAAGGAAGCTGAAAAATATATTCTACTCTCAAAAAGCTTAATTTACCAACTGTAAGTGAAAGCTTTGGTAGTCATTTAAAAACAAGAGTTGTTTAACTTTTTAAAAAGTAACTGTAGCAATCTTCATCCTCTTTTCTCTCATACAGTAATAGGATTATATTTTGAAATAAAAAAATTTATAAGTTCCCTGACAATTTTTTCTTTAATATTTGCATGAATGGGCGTATATCCATGCTTGGGAGGCAGAGTGAGAAAAGATATTATACTTTACTGAAAAAAAAAATTGTGGGAATCATAGTCTTACAAGTTTACTGGAGCTGCTAACAGCAGCATATGTGCAATGAGTACCATCCTTGAACATTGCTTTGCTTCATCACTGCCCAAATCTCTAGATCTGAATCTTGTTTTCATCGTTGACTTTCTTTATGAACTCAGACGTGGTCTTTATGAACTTAAAGACCATTTTGTCCTCTGTGTTTCTTCTGTCACTAGCCTCTCTGGACTTTGGCTACTTTCTCAGAAAATGAAGAAGACAGATTAGTTCTTCTTAATCCCTGCTCCAGACCGGGCATTCCTTAAGAATGAGTTTGCGTCCAGCTGCAGTGTGGGTACCCTTGGGCTTGGTGCTTTTTCTGAGACACTGTGTTGAGCAGGGATCTTAGCCATGCACTGTCGATGTGAACTCTGGATTCCTTGTGGTCATTACATGTCCTCTGGCACTGTTTCCCAGCTGAGGGCTCGCGCTCACAGCCTTGGCCCTGTTTCATTTTTGTATGTGAGTGTCCTCTGAAGTTTTAATTGCTTACACTGTCTTCCTTTTCGCTCCCTGTTCTGTCACCTTTGAAGTTTTGTTAAAAGCTGCCATTTTACTCTTGAGGACTGGCACTAAATGAGGGAAAATGTATGCTGCTGCTGCTGCTGCTGTTGTTATTGTTGTTGCATGGTTTAGGTCGCTGTGGAGAAATGTCTTTCAAGACTTAGCCTCTGAAATGAGAACCGTGTTGAGGAGATGGGATCTTCATACCACCTGGTGTACGTTTACATGCAAAGTAAAAGTTCAAAGCCTTTTGCCTCATCTGTAGAGCACCTTTCTACATAATAGCAAGAATTGAGTTTGGGTGTGGCTTATGTCCCATCCCCTCTTTTCCTGAGGATTACTTTAAATAAGAATACCTGTTTATTATTTAAAGACCATTTTGTCCTGTGTGTCTTCTGAGATCTAGTTGCCCCGAAGATGCCTTTCAACGTTGCACTTCAACAAAAATAGAACAAGTTTATTGGTAGTCCTTATGACACATCCCCCACAGTTGGATACTTTATCCTCCCCCTTTTAAATCTGCCCTCAATTCTTTCTAAAGCTATGACTTTCTGATGCAAGTGTTCTGCTTTCCCTTTGTTTTCAGATATATGTCCCTTCCTGATACCTCCCTTCATTTCTAGGTTTCAGTTTTCAATTCCCTTTTATTTGATCATATGCTTTTTCTGTGTTCTTTTTAAAAACAATCATGTACTTTCAAGTTTTCACTTTTCTCCTTCAACTACTGTATGAGGTAGGTTGCTCTTGAGATTTTCATTGATGTCAAGACCCTCCACTTGCGTCTTGAGAGATTTGCTTGCTTTTTGTTCAGAGTATTTGGTAATTATATCACATCCCAGTTCATATGTTGATTAGACTACCCCTTTTATAATAGAAACTCCTACGTTCCAGTCTGTTCCTAAATGTTAAGAGGAACCCTGTTTCTTTACGTTAAACCTTAAAAAGGATCCCTGTCGGATTTGGTAGTTTTATATTTTGATGTTCTTTCTTCTATTATGTTTTTGAACATTTTCACAAGAAGAGAAAGCCTTTGTTTGTCCAAGCATGTTTAAAAGACTCTCTCAAAATAGACTGGGTCAAAAATATCCCTTTTAGTACACACTTTCAGGATTTTTGGGACTTATCTGTGAAAGGGCTAATCTGGAAGTCTTTGACAGTCTGGAAGCCTGAAGAAATCCTCCATTTTCCCAAAGCTGTGTTTTTGAATATTCTACTTCAAAGAGGAAGCTCACCCTTTTGCTATTAGTGTCCAGAAAGAACTATGAGTAGATTTTCTGTGACACAAAGAATAGCAGTAGATGAAAGATCCGATTGCCACCATGTTGCATTTAAAATCTCATTTTCTTTAGAGAGCTGTGCACAGGACTCTCCAATAGTCAGGGATTTAAGGATGAAGCAGTTCAGAATCACATCTCCCACCATATAACTCAAAGGTGACATTTATATATCTGGGAACCTTTTAAAAACCATCTAGATCTACAGGTAAATTTCAAATCCACAAAGTTCAACTGGACAGAAAGTTTACTCAAATACATTCTTTCATCCCAGTTTTTAAGCCTAATCCTACTGCTTTTAGGCTAAATCACATTTATAGAGCCGAAATTATTAGTGTATCTCCCGAATGACTGGTGGTGATATTTGACTTCATATACTGATACAACTTTTTATTTAATTCACGTTTTGGAAAGAGCTTGACCTGAAGTCATTGCCCTATGCTGAAAATACTGAATTGTTTTTCTCAAGTACATACCATAAAAACAATGGAACAATGGACCCTATCAAGGTAAGGTCATATCAAAGTAGTGCATTGAAATTGAGCCCTGAAAAAAATATTTTTTAAATATTGTGTGTGCGTGTGTGTGTGTGTGTGTGTGGTAGAGACTCGGTCTTACTTTATTGCCTAGGCTGATCTTGAGCTCCTGGCTTCACGTCATCTTCCTGCTTTGGCCTCCCAAAATTGTGAGATTATAGGCATGAGTCACATAGCCGACTCTAAAAATGAATATATTTTTCAGATATCAAGGCCTAGCAATTTTTCTAGGGTAGCAAAGGTAGTCTCTTTTTTCTCTACTTTGCAAGTGCAACATTTGATATTGCGTAGATGTTGTAGAAGAGTATGTTGAAGAGCCCAGATTCTAAAATGCCACCATGTAGTTTAGATCTTGGTTTTAGTGCTTGATCATTGGGACCTTGAGAATATTGCTCAACTTTTTCTCTCCTCAGTTTGTCTCATCTATAAAATTATATAAAAGGCACTCTATACCATGTAGGGTTTTTGTGCCTAATACATGAGGAGTATGGAATTAAATCTTAACCCACTGGCATCTGTACTGCCTGCCACTGTAGTATATAAAGAGATGCAGTGGATTCCTAAATTTTGGGGGAAACATTGTGTTTTATGTACATGCATTCTATTAGGGAAATTTAGGAAACCTTGTATTGCATGTTTTCATGCAATATATTGGTACTTGTATGAAGCCACATAGACAATTGGAATATTGTCCCAAAGATATATAACAGCTTTAGTCACAGAGGTTCCTATGAATGCATTAAGACAGAAGGTATAGCCTAGATTTGGTCAGTCTGAGATGGTGCCTAGAAAGTCTAAAGGCTAATATCTGAAAATAGATTCCAAACCTTGAGGCTTCAGGACCCTCAGTCCTTCTATTCATCACCAGGATGCTTTATGTTGTCATTGAAGTTTTAGGTATTTGGATCTGCTTGTTCACCTGTATCTTTCCTCATATGTCTCTCTGAATGTAAAGATTTTGCCTACATCTGATGAAAACTGCCCACTGTTCAAATTATTTGTCATATGTATCTGCTTGGAGCAGAGTAAGATACTTCTAAGGGAACTTGACATTTTATGACTCAGGATATCAGATTCATCCTTACCACTGGCTATTCTCCAAAATTTGGAAAGTTCATTGGTCTTAGGGACCAAGATCATGAGACTTTCTAGAAAGATGAATTAAAAAATTGCTATTCATCCATTCATTTATTCATTTATCCACATATCTACCCACATAAATATTTGCTTTAGTTATTTATCTTTCTCTGGAAGTGAGGAAAGCTGAAAAGAAAGTAATTGGGGTGCATTTCCAATAACACTCCTTCTGCAAGTGGAATGAAACTCTCTTCCTCCCATTAAGTCTCTTTCCGTAAGTAAACTTTATAGAATGAATTGTGCTCCTCCCCACCTAAAAATTCATCTGTTTTGAAGGCCTAATCCCCAGAATACCTGAACATGACCTTATTTGTAAATAAGTATGTTGCAGATATAATTAGTTAAGGTTATATCACATAGAAGTATGGTGGATCCCTAATGTCATATTACTGGTGTCCTTATAAAAAGGGGAAATTTGGACACAAATAGACACACAGGGAAAACACCATGTGAAGATTAGAGTTATTTTGCACAAGCCAGGAAACTACCAGAAGCTAAGTAGAAAGAAAGAGACCTTTTCCTGGTGCTTTCAGAGGGAACATGGCCCCACTGACACTTTGAT